TGACAAAAAAAAAAATGTATTCAAACAAATTTTAAATTATGCGATATTTAACCTATATATCTAACATCATGAGCCATTGTTAATAAAGTTTTCTGTTTAAATCGTGAAATCAAATTTCAATATTAATAAAAATTATGTAATTTTTCTATTTGTATCAGGATATTTATGTCCATTTAAGTATTAATCAAAATTGTGTTCATACAAAGGATTTAATTATTAAATATATATTGGTATTAATGAATATTAAATATAAATATGATCATTTATTCATCTTTCGTATTATATTTTTAGGAGTTGTATTTTATACTTACACATATATTTAAAAAGGTACAGATTCTTCAAATTTTTAGCCACAGAAAATAAATTGTCATTTATATAATTATAATTTGACATCATGAGTAAATAAAAATTAAGAAATTTTCTTATCTATTTCCATAAAAATTGACACATATTAATAATAAATTAAATATTATAATATAAATATATTATATACTACTGATTTATTAAAACTTACATATATTTTAGCATTGGCTATTTTTAAATATTTCATTCTTCAAAAAATTATAATTTGTTATTCAATTATTTATTAATAACAAATTTATTTAAAATGAATTCAAACTTTTTTCTTTTTTTTTGTGATTTATTGATAGTACCAATTTAAAATATCTATTATCATTAATATTATACATTTATTTAGTACGCATATTACTTTGTATATTTCATAAATTTTAGGTTAATAACTGAGTATAAATGATGGATTTAGTTTTTCAATAAAAAAATAATTATGCATTATTTCATGATATTTTCTATACAATTATTTCTTTCAGCTAAAGGATAATCTTCCAATGATACCTCAAATAACATCAACGAATATTGTTACATGATTATAAATTTTATTTGATTTAATATGTCTCATGTATTGAAGATTATCAGTATAAGGCAAGCTAACTTAATGTAATAATTAGTTTTACTTTTTTAATATATAGTTCACTAAATTGTTTAGTATAAATTATATGATTTGATGAAAATTATTCAATACATTTTGTTTTCAATTCGAAAACGTAACAATATATTATTTAAAAAAATATTATTGTTATTTTAAAATATCAAAAAATTCATTTTTTTACCATTGATTTAAAATACGTACAAAAAAAAATAATTGTTACGTGTTATATTATGACGTTTTAGTGATTCATGAAAAATTCGTAAGACTCTCTGTGCTTGATATTATCATATTTTTCAAATATCTTTGTGAATTCATCACTTTTGGTATAAGTACCTTATCAAATTTAGTGTTTAACGATGATTTATACTATAAAATTACGATTCTTACTTGTATATGATATCGAATCAAAGACGTTGAACAAGCCGGTACAATTCAATGTGACCACGATGAGATACGCCGACAAGTTGTACATTTTATTTTTACTTCTGAACGTGTTTTGCATTCGCAATATAAATGAGGTATTAGAGTTGTATGATGAAAAGTCATAATCAAGTTATAGTTAGCGAAGTTTTCTAAGAAGACTATTTCAATTGAATTTATGCAACACCGAAAACAATAAATCGTTTTAAGGAATTTGTTCACTAGCAATTTTCGAAAATTAGATTTATAAGGTGAAATTGGAGCTCAACAATTATAAAAATGTGGTAGGCTGTGTTGTGAAAAATGGAACTAGGAAGTGGAAATATGTATTGTAGAATGTGAAAAATTGGTTCCGATACTGCAGTCAGACAAGTCTGAATTCAAAATAAGATATTAATCCGAAGTGACGTATGATTAATGTGTTAATTTATTCTTTTTTCTTGTTTTGCCATTAAGGTGGTTTTTTAAAGTAGAATTTTCTTGACCATGAAAAATATAAAACAATAAAAATAAAAAAATACGATGCTTCAACAAAAACAATGTAAAAGACTATAATGGGTGTTGTTTTACCGGTAACATACGGTAAACATTCAACAAGGCAAATAAATTTAAACAAATCAATTTAACATAATTTATTTTATTTTTATTTTCACATAATATACATAAAGAAATCCAATGAAGTTTAAATGTACAGAAAAATAAAAATGTATCCTTATGATTCAATGTACAATATTTTCCGGCTTATAATAATGTAATTTATATTAACCAAAACGACAATAATATAAGTGTTATATTAATGAGAGATACATCAAAGTTTAATTTATTTAACCAATATCACAAGGCGATAATATATTTATAAGTTTACAATATGGATAGTTTTTTCGTTATCGGTATTTTTTTTTTTTTACAGTGACTATACGCTTTAATTAACAAAAGATATTCATTGCATGTACGTCGTCACTTCATATACACTCATAGCTTAAAATGTTTCATAAAAATAATGACATTAAATTTATGCACGTATTTAAATCATATAAATGAATAATACAGTAATAATAATAATAATAATAATAACATCAACAGTAATGACTAGAACCCAGACTTTGGTTAAATTGTATTCGTATTAAATATATAGTATATTTATATTTTATTATTTGTACACTTGTACATCGCATGGGAAATCTTAAACGATTACCAATGTCATGTAGCAGCAGCTACAATGCAATTTGCATCACTAAAGCTAAACATAATTATGAAAAGTTATCAATCAGTAGTGAAATTAATGATCACTCTGTCCTGACGATTTCAAATAATAATTATATAAGTATCCTATTTAGTAATTTTACTAAAATAAGAATTATAATTAATAATATTCCTTGTACCAGATACGAACTTAGCTAAGTTGGTATATGTATCAGCCGTTGTTAATGTATTCTCAATGAAATAATTTACTTTTTGTTATCATTTAATCGTAATTAATTTTTTGGCTGAAATAAAAAAAATAATGCATCCTCTGAGTCTTTCGGAACGAAAATGTTGTCGGATCACGTGCAGCGCAATGTAATCGTTCGCCATAATAATATTATAATATAGGTTTATTTCTAAATACGATCATCGTGATGGCAATGTGTCACGTTTTACATATCCGTATGCTATCGAAGCCGAATCCGTTTTCTGCCCCGTTATCTGACGCGAAGGGTAGTTATTTATTTTAATGAATCGAGGTTATTATCAATTGTCCGATATGTAAAAAATTACGCATGAATACAATGGTCAAACGAATACCATAGGATGCCTACCGGCCGCGCAGTCATGGATCCGCACAGGTTTTATTTATTTTTCTTACCATTCGCATGTTCCGAAGAGGTTTTATTTCGTCATATACTCGGTGTATCACGCGGTCATTACGAACGTTTGAGAGATATTTCTCCGACCGAGTGCATGTCAATAATAATTATTTTTCTAAATTCCGTTGGCAGGGATGCACAAAGTGCTTGTCGAACTTGTGACGGTCCCGAGATACGTATAGTTTTCGATATACCACACCCATTTCCTGCACCGCCCAAAAAAAAGCGGAATGTATGCGTTTCGGTATGTTCGGAATAATTTAATCGACTTGGGAAATTGAATAACGCGTTTACCTACCACCGAAGTTTACCTATTTTCAAGTTTCTTTTTTTTCTTTTCTGTTGTTTTATTACATGACGTGCACGTGCACTAAACACATTAAACAACATGACTTGATGATATTTTGTAATAAATTGAGGTTCACTAGAAAACCGAATGGACGAAATATTGGTTACACGATACAATTTATACATATTACATACAAGCGAAAAAGTTGTTGGTTTTATTTTTCATTAGGTACTCTCGTTTTATTGGCAAATCATCGTATTTATATATTGTACCCGGTTATATTGACGGTGAAGTTTAATATTACTTTATATGCATTTTCATTACCATAACGTCGCTTTACGCAATAATAGTTTTAAATTTCATGTTTTCACTCTGAACGGTTCCGCACACGAAACGCGTTTAAAAATCTAATGTGGATATACTGCGCACCGTAAACTGCATTTTGTGTTCCATATTATAGTGTGTACGTAATTTATGGTAGACACAAACTTAAATAATCTACTATAGCACCATTGTTGTTAAAGCCTTTCCATAAATAAACACAACGTTCACCGTTTTTGGAATGACGTGAACTCGGACAATACATTTAGTTTTACGCCTTTTTAATCGAATATAATATTTTGTTTTTTGTAATAATCAAATTTGGTACTATATAACTTTACGTGCAACTCGATTTAATTGAATATTAGGCCCCGTGATTTTTATACGTGGTTTCTAACTGCGTTTCGTTAAGAAGAACTTTGTGAAATAATCTGAGGGTAGTAATTATATGATTATAGTCGGCGTAGCATAAATATGGGCCATGCATTTTGAAATACGTAAAGACAAAAAAAAAAAATCAATAAGATTAACTGGAAAACTTGTACCGGTAGTAAAATTAAATTGAAATAGTCTCTAGTGAATTATAAACAGAATATTATTTTCACATCGATGGCACGAAACACTATACTCCAATCAACTGAAGCGTAGTTACTTACATACATATTATGCTTGTTTGGAAGGTAGAATATTATTGTTGAAAACCAGTCGGGTATTTCTACTACAACAAAACGATTTCGCAGTCTTCCATTACAAAACTAAAAACAAATAAATACATATAATGTATATTGTTAAATACAGTAAAATTCAATGAATGCGCTTAATAACTATTTAAAAGTTATGTTTTATCCTAATACGACTAAAACGTAATGAAAATTAACTACGCGGAATTCGTTTTCAGCATTTGGAAATGTTGTCTGATCATATCTTATTAAGCGTATATTACGATCTTCGGAAAATAATTTCATTGTAAATTAAAGAACCATAATACATTGCATTATATGTTTTAATATTTTGTGATAAAGATCGATGAGACCAATTAAAGTTTTTTAAAACCATCATAAACACAATTATGATTAATTAAAAAAAAAAAAATTGAAATATTTACGTTTTGGTTTTTCATTAAATTTGAATACTTAAGATTAAAAATAATTGGAACAAATTAATTTTATTATGTACATCAATGATAAAAAAAAAAAAAAAAAATAATAATACTTAAGTATTCCTAACTTAAAATAAATCCTGTTTTAATTACCTACGTTATGATTTATTGAAAACAATTCCAATTTCAACAGAATTCAATAATTATTAGTAACCCTTTCGTGTACAATGTTAATGAATTCCATTAGTGTCAATAAAACTACAAAAAAGTAATAATAATACGACTACAATTAATCCTTTTCTTTGCAACAATGCTTCCTCGAATTAAAATAATCGAAAATATAAGTTAACTAATTCGTTACTATCGTTATTTTTTTCAATTTGTTTTTTCAAGTAAATTTGTTCGTTAATTGTACAACTTTTAACAACTCGTGTGGGCGATTTCATGATGCATCATTGCCATCATTATTACTTTTGTTATTATTTAAAGTAAATAACATGGATGAAAAATAAAGTATAATAATAATAATAATAATAATAATAATGTAGTATCAGTAGTTGTAGTAGCAGTAAACCCCATTTATTTACAGTCCATTTTAGCTTAACATTTGCAACAGCATATAAATTATCGTGAACATAGCACAATTGGAGATGGCGAATGACCCCGAAGTCGAGCTACGAACGCCGTGTTGCATGGCCGCCGGTACTTCAGCTAAGAAAACATGAAACAAAAAAAAAAAAATTAAAAATAAATATAACATGCGTATAACATTATGCACATTAAAATATTCGGAAAACGTTATAATTATTGTTACACTGGCCAAAATGACCGTACACCGAGTTTTATGGCACTATGTATATGTTATGTTGGTGTTCGACACCTCTCTTGATTTCTTAAACTTAATATCTCGTCAACATGCAATTCGGTCAACTATAATCGCTCCATTATGTTTTAACGTCGACGATGCTTTTACCACGCACGGCCAAAAACAATTACTATTATCCGCTCATCGAACGACAACTACACAAACGATACGCTTTCATTGGTAAACTACGTGGGGGGAGGGTCGAGGAAGATAATAGTAAAAATAAAATATAATTTCATGGACTCATAATTATTCGTCATACGTATACGTCATGGACATCGAGGACCTGCTCGAACTTTTAGTGCATTGTTAATTAAGCCTTTGAATTATTTTGAGAATTCATTATTATTTTATCGTCTTGTACCATTGCTTCAAGTTTTCATAACGAGTTTATACTGAAATCAGAAATAAACAAATGTTTCTGAATTTTGTAATATGTGAGATATTTCTAATCATTGTGTAGTACAAAGCATCGGGTCTCAATGTATAATATTCATCAAAATTATGTTTTTATAAAACCTATCTAACATATCTAACATATCTAACATGTATAAAACATATCGGTAGATAATCAATCACAGGACGCATCTCGTAAAATCGCCGGGGTTAATCGCGAACGAGTGCTTCAAACATAATAAGCGATTCGGTTGTAAAGCGTTATTATTTATTAAGTATATACCGGACACTATTAAAATTGATTACATCTTGCGAAATATAATTTTTTTTTGTAGATATACAAAAACTTCAATACTAGAATTTTTCACGAATTCTAAATTTATTAAAAAAAATAAATAAAAATGTTGTCACTTATTATTACCTTGCTGACTGATTTATAATAAAAATAATACGTTGAATAAAAATATTACAACTGAATAAATTATCAAAGTAGGTACCCATGTATTCTAATTTATGAAATTCAATAATTTAGTAGAATTATAAACATGAAAAACCTTTAATTTCGTAGAAAATATCTGGCAAATAATTGAATAATAACGCGTTATCAATACGTATTTTGAGTGAAAATGAACTGTTTTTCTTTATTATTATTCAGTTCTATGTTATTGATAATGTTCTTGGAATTAAATTTAATTAAAATCTTAAATTAACAATATATATGTTTATAACTGTTGTACATTTTTGTAACCTTACAAACAGTGAATGGCATAACCGACTTGTTATATAAATGATATCATATTTTAATGAATTTTATTCTTACAATAGTATTGTATTGTTGAAATAGTTTAATTTATATTACATTTGGTTAGCCTTATCATTCTTTTTTTTTTTTTCAAATAAACTGCAGATCTTCAGACCGTTTTATATCCAGTCGTTAAAATCCAATTTTCTTTTTCTAATCAACTGTTTAAATCTTCAATTTCCTCTCAGTTATAAAATGGCAACTATACTGACGATTATACTGATGATTTTTTAGAACATTTTAATCCAAACTGTTTACCGTTGTATTGATTCAGCTTAATATTGATTTCAAATAATAATTAATTAATATTACAGCTAATCATAATACATTTTAATATTTAGTATTATATTTTTATTATCTTGTAATAATAGCTATCGAACATTAGTGTAAAATATATATGAATGAAATTAATCATCTGGAATATTAAGTTTTCATCTTAAAATTGTTTTTCCATTAAGCTATGGTTATAGCCTGATATTCGAATTTACGTGTGCTGTTTGATCATTGATGTGTTAACTTTATAAACGGTATTCAAAATCAGTCTGCGTTTCGAAAATATTTATTCCAATAAATCTAGTGTATTTTAAACATTTTCGTGTGTTCTCAATATAATACATAAAGGAAACATGGATTTTTTCTGCACTTTTGAATTGTTCAGTAAATAGGTATAACACTGTATGTAAAAGAAAAATTATTTACATTTCTATATTATAACTTGAATTTTATAAAACCTATGTGTTTGTGTATAATCATTTACACCAATTAAAAGCTCATAAAAATTAATTGCTAGATGGGTTTGTAAATGTAAACAGACATAATCTATGTTTTATTTCTACTTAAATTTAATTAATTCTCGTAAGAAAAATCTCTTAACAAAGATTTCGAAAACACAATCATAGATAAACTGTGCAATCGGAGCTACTTGTTATCGCTGCTCGGTGAAGCTGAAAATTGAACGAAGCTGAATCTGGCGGATCAACGGGGTGTTTCCACACCAAAAAATTCGTACTGGTTTATTGCTTTAGTATATTTCTTTTATTCCAGTAAACTTTTTAGTGATATTAAAACATGCATGTGGTACGAAAACGCAAATGTTACCACAATAAAAATAACGTTTATAAATAATTTAATAAATTAACCACAACGATGAAAATAGTGATGCTTTCAAAAAAAAAAAAAAAAAATTAATTAAATTGTAACAACGTTTTATTCACGTTGATTGGATAACAATGACGTAATCAATAGCCTAATAGAATATGATGGATTTGTTATTACATTTTGAATTTTTAATTACATTGAACTGTGATGATGATGATGCATTGGTAATTAAAAGCTAAAATTAAATAATAAAATAGAAATGTTGAAGTTAAATATTCAGCGGTACAAACATTTAACGAATAGAATTTCACAAGCAGCAGTTTTGTAGAATATTATGATTATATCAGTATTGTTATACATTAAAAGCCAACGCTATATGTATATACATGATGTTAATTTGTTAATTAACTAAATGTAAGGATTATTATTTTAGAACGGAAACGCGTTTTTATTGGAAGTCATAAATGATAATTAAAATGAAATTTGTTACATCATATTTACGAATAATATTATTTTGAATGAAAGGACAGGGGATGTTTAATTATATTTTCTCCATAATTTTTTCGACGTAATATTGTTTTTAAGATTCCGTTCGTAACATCTGTAAATGTATGTGTACCGATAACCGTTCTACGGCGTGTGATTGAATACACACAGCTTTTGAGCCATTCAAGTTCGGAAATGTACTATCGTGGCTTGTTACAAATGTCGGTGTATACGAGAGACGATGGAGAGTGGAAGACAACGGTAATACGTATGCAAAAGTACGCGAAATATACTTACATTGAAGCACGTGCACGTGTATAGTGGCCGGCGGTATGTTTTGAGGTTGGCACGTGTAGTTGCCGCTGTCCGACGTGTTCGTGTACGGCATGATGAGATCGCTTTCCGTGCTGTTGATGTGCACGATGAGCCCCCGATCTGTGTCGAAATTGATCATCCGATCGGAATGGTACCAGAAGACGAATAGAGGTGCTTGGGTGGATCCTTGCAATCGACATACCAGTCGCAGGCTGCTGCCACTCATTATGTACAGGTCCGGTGCACCGAGGATTTCCGCTCTGGCCTCTGCGGTGAAGAAGATGAGATGTCCATGACGACCGGTCAAGTACGGGGAAAATATCCGGAAAAAATGCAAAAAGACGTATTAAAACGCAAGGCAATATGAATAATATCGTGCAACTTATTCGATTTTATTACAGAACACAAGACCTACATTTGTTTTTATATATTTTCACCGTTATCGACAGTGGCGTAGGAAGACTCGCTAGCGTCTCTGGCAAACTTAGAAAAAACGCTTTTTAACTAATTAAAATTTGACGTTATGATATTTTTTCAACCTTTTATTTTGCTAATTTTTCTAAGTACACAATTTATAGTTATAAGTTATTATTACAGTATTAATTTTTAACTTTGAAAATTTGCAATTCCTCGCTCTATGACTGGTAATTCATCGATAATTTTTTCGTATGAAATTTTTTATTTAAATGCCCTTGTGCCATTATTATAATTTCAACATTCAATTCACACGTAGTGTGTACAAATAGACAACATCTACGTACTTTAAAAAGTATAATGGAACATTTTCGATTTGACTGTAAAAATATGACTTGCACGATTTTGCAGCCCTTTGCAATTCGCGCCCCTGACGTAGACACAGTTCACCTACCCTTGCCACGCCACTGGTTATCGACCAATAATACTTAAAGTTCTACACGTTTGCATGGGCGGTACAAGTCTGGGGTGCACGTACTGTATGAGTCTGACACGTTTCGTCCCGTTGTGTAAGTTTTGCGATTTCGGCTGATTTCGGGTCGTCCGTCAAAGTAGCAACAAGCTTAGCAAAAATTGCCCTATTTTCTCGTGGTCTCGATCATTTCCAAAGTAAACGGGGTTCTGTGAGCAACGGTAAACGTAATCCGGTCAGGATGACTAAAACTTATTGGTATTCGTGACAAAATATTTATTTTTTTAATTTCCCAATAGTTAAACGTTCGAACGGTTGTGCTTTTCCCGGGTATGAGTATAATCATTATTCTCGGAACATGGTACGTCGTAATGGTTAGTCTACGGTTGGACTCGAATTTAATGTGAACGGTACAACAATAGATTACCAACCTGTGACTTTCAGATGTACGAAATTACTAGTCGTCGGGTGCGTAGCTATGCGACATTCGTACAAACCGGCGTCCGTTGCTTCCACCGGTGTTATCTCCAAATTCCACGTCTGAAAAAAAAAATATACGAAATAAAATTATCCTACGTGCGATTGAGCGCCTAAGATAGCGAGCGAAAATATAATACGATTCGGTTGCGGGGGATTTACTGTGATATGTTTGGTGTAATTTGTAAACATATAATACATTCGTGTTTTATGTATTCTTAACATTTTTTTTTTTTCGGGTAGGTACGAGATTGTTGAAATTTTTTAGTTTCATTGGGGATATGCTCGTTGTTTTTTTTATACGCGAATCCACTCTAGTGATCATTACTCAAAAAAAAAAAAAAAAATTTATTTGAACTTATTCATAATTAAATATGAATATAAGACTGTAGTCATAATACCAAGAGTGCATTTTATAATTATAAAACTCGAGAAATGGACAAATAATGATAACAAACATAACTAGCGAATTATTGAAGTACGTTATTTGAAAAATTAAGATATTGGTTAGTAAATAAAACATAATATCGTTGTTTATTGCTGTTTTATCAGAATCACTAAAATCTTTTATTCTAAGAATTCATAATTAATTTTATAGTTTCAGTACACATTTAATATATGTTCCATTATAAATAAACTTCAGTACAAAAACCCCTGTACCCTTCAGGAGTTATAACTGTTATTAAAATATGCTAATACGATGGGAAACCCACTCCTATAAATGTTTATGTTTGTGTAGGTATTTGTAACTTATTACTAAATTATTGGTAACTAAGATTAAATTACAAAATTTACAAAAAAAAACTGGAAATTTATTATTCACCAAGTTTACTTATTGTTAGTTATTATTTTAAATTAATATTATTTTTAGTATCTGATGTATGTTCTATAATTATTTTATGCGTCTAAGATATTAATATTTTATGAAAGTTTTAAAAAATTATATAATATAAATTAAAAAAAAAAAAATAACACCTTTATTTAATGCAATAAATATTATTTCAACTTCTTAGGTACATCTAGAATTTTTTTTGGAGTTGGGGTAAAATAAATATAGTCCCACTCTTTTGAAGTGGGATTTTATCCTCTTCCTTTATAGAGTTAAGTTAGATACGCTACTGATTTTCTATTAACCGGATACTATTAATAATAATGTATGCAAACTATTAAACTGTACAATTTACTCGAATTCTTTATGGTTTTCGGTACTAGTAGTTTACAAGGTTTTTAAATATATATATTTTTTTTTTTCAAAACGATTATTGAGAAAATCAATTTATTTATACTGTCAATAAAAATGTTTATATGTCTAAACTGTATAATGGTATAGAAATAAGAAATGACTATCAATTTAAAATGTAAAGTTTAATTTCAATCGATTTATATTATATTAAAATTTAATCTGTGTGTAACGATACTATTAGATTCAACATAAATATATAGTATACTTGTATATATTATTAGTAACAAAATAAACTAGCCAAAATATACTAAGATATTTATAATAATCATAAAAAGACACATCACCCTACGCCCGCGATTCAAGAGCGTTGTACCGGAAACGCACCGGAAAAATCTCCAGTTCAGCCGACCATGGTGTTGTTGCGACAGTGGATAAAACGAGAAAAAACTCTACAAACGCAGTTATGGTGTTTTTCTTTATGACAACCGGGCTTTTATTTTTATCAGCGGATACCTCGTACAGTGGTCACATGATTATAATAATTGCGTGCAGTTTCGGTCAATTTCGTCAATTACGCAAAACGAATACGGGGACGGTAAAACGATGATTCGACCAGAATGAACCATATACGTTCGGAGGGGTCTTGATTTCAAACGCTCTGGACGGATGATCTTTGACTCCTAATTATACCGACCACAGTGAGAATCTTTTCAAAAAAGAATCGTAGAGAACTGATTTCTGACCTTACAATTTCTCTAAATATTATCTCTCTCTTCTATTGTTATGTTATAGTCTTGGTTCTTTTGACACACGTGGAAATTTATTTATAAACTGAGTTTAATCTTTTTTTGAAAAAAAAAAAATTCTTTCTATACACAATTATATGTTACGTATTAGATTATTTTTAAATTTAAAATTAATTTCTTTGTATGGTATGTGAATGCATTGTTCATCGTTACACTTATCTATAATTAAAATTTGTTTGCTTTATTTTTTCATATTTATTTCTTCACTTGCTTATGGAAGCTCAGAATAATAGTTGTACGACGGACAAGTGTTATTTTTATATTCATTATTAAATCGAAAGTTAAAAGATAATAAATCGTAGTTTTATAAAGTAAAAATAATAGTCATAGCTGTGTGTTCTAGTTGCACAGAAGTTTGGCATAGCACGATAACGATTGAGGTCGAATGTAGGAGCGTGTGCAACACAAATTTTACCACGCGCACTACGGAGTCGGGGAAACAAACGTGATGAATCGGCAGAGTTTGAAACAGAAAGTGATAGAAATTATTGCGCTGGATGAAGTTGGATCGCGCTTCTTGTTTCTCGATTTCAGACATCCATGGACCAGTAGCCGGGTGCGAAACGTGAATGGTTTGTAATTTAGGACAAACAATGGCACACGGTCGATGGTAAATGTTTAATTTCGTTACTTTTTGTTCCGTTAAATGCAACTCGGCAGCGGCGTTTCGTTTCGTGGCTATCCAGGATCAACAGGCGTATCGCGCAGTTTTGTGCCATCGAAACCGTCACACATGTGTGCATAATGTACGTGTATAAGTAATAATAAGTTTTAATGTTTAAGTTATGCAGTGCGAGTTGAACGCTGAAACGTCACTGACACACTACTTTGTTCGTAGCGATTAACGTAGGGCTGCCAAAAACGGACAAATAGCATGGCAAAAATTATCGCTACTCGACAATGGTAAAATCTCGAATGTTCCACGATTACTGATAAATAAATAAATGAGCTTCCTGATTGTAATTGTCAATGTTGTTTTATAGTTTTTGTGTTTTCATTATAAGACTTATACATATTTTACCTAATACCGTTTAACGATTATCGATAAATGATGAATTTTGAAAAAAAAAAAAAAAAAAATTATAAACAATAAATATTTTCTAAGAGCTCCAAAAACAATGAAAGTTAAAAAAAAATATTTGTATTTTGTCACACCTAGGTTTTTTCTTAATTTTTAAAAGTAGTAATAATTTAATTTTAATAATTAGCTCATATTAATGCATACAATTAACATTGTACGATGTAAACTTGTAAATATAGTTTCTCATAGAGAGCTGTGTATAATATTTATATTTATTATCATAATTTAAAACAATTTATGAAATAAACATAATTTGTTCGCACACTTAAAATCACTATGTATATTTACAAATATAAATATAATTCGATCAAATAAATTCTTGGTTCATTCGATGCACTCAACATTCAGACATATAAATTGTAAATATGATTTGAAACGTTATCTTTAGAGAGAGGCGTTCGAGTAGTTACCATGTACTCGAATGTAATTATACCAGCGGCATAGACTTTTTTATCGTAATAAACTATTAACTATATATAATATATGTTACGGGTAGAGTGAGAAAATCGGGTAATTTTTACATTATCTACCTTTTAGTCGATAAAGTGTTTTCTTAAAATAAAATACGACAAAATATGAACTGTAGATAATATTAATAAAATACGATAAAACATAAATTGTACCTACATAATGATAAGTCGTGTGCATTGATATTGTATAATAATTTTAAACTACATACGGTGCTATTGGTTTTCGTGTTCACTTGTTCAGTTTATTAATGTTTGAAAATTTAGTTTTTTAAAAAAAAAAACTTGTCTTCATAAAAAGAGAAATTACATGAAAATTATAATAAATAAATTAATGTAAAGAATGAAAATTCGGTAAATTTAACGGAATCAAAATATTATAACATACTATCTGAAATAAGATATAAAATAAATATAAGATAAATAAATATTTATTTATTAAAAAAATCTTTTTGTGAAATAGCTAATGCACAATTTTTTTCGATGGTCGAAGTTTTAAAAAATGTTTGTGTGAAAATAATCATTTAACAAATAAATGTGCGATTAAATGTAAATCTGGGGAGATATTTTGCAACTCAAAATGCTTCAAGTGTTCCAATAAATAACTTTATTTAATTTTTTAAAATTTTTTATTGTAAAATAATAACTTAATAATTTTTTTTTAAATTAAACTTATAGCACACTGTATAATGTACACATTATACTATTCATATGAATAAGGAGTACTATACCCGGGTAATGTGTAAACTACCCATTTTCGAACTTTACTCGTAACATATACATTATTTCAAACTTATCATTATAACGTATTTGTAGAGCCAGAACCTTTTTGGTGATGCTTAAACTTTGGCATAGCTTCTTTTAAAGAATTATAAATTTATAAATAATACAACAACCAGTTATAATAACTGTTGAGGTAAATATTAAAACAAATTATTATATAAATAAATAAAAAAATAAATATTATAAACCATAATATGAACACCTAAAAATATTATTGAATTAAAAATATATGTTTTATAATTATATTTTAAATTGTAAATTAAAATTGATTGAAATTTTAAAATCTCCTTCAAGACATTTGTAGTGATAAATAAATAAATCATTTATCAAAGTTGAAAGTTTTAATAAGTTTTTGCTCTTTTATCGGGTACCGATGTAAACATAACTTAATACGAGTATACTTCTCCGGAAGCTTCATAAGGAAGTTCATATATTTAAGTGGACTGCAGTAATTACAAACAAAGTTGCATTAGTGAATTAATAATGTATGATTGGGAATTGTTATGTCTACGAAATCACTACGATCTGTGTCTAAACGGTCAGCCCAAAAAGTTCATTCCCCACGTGTGCCTTATATACTATCACATGAGTTAACATTAGTTGTTTAAAATTATTATATTTTTTACTTTACATTAATTATTTATGATGCTAAAGTAAGGAAAACTAATGAACAACGTACATTAAAGAACAGTGTAGTGTTTTGACTACTCGAAAGTGATAAATAAAAATAAAAATTTATAATT